CAGGGTTTGGTTTTGATTTCAATGCATTGACCAACCGGAACAGTGAATGGGTGGAAAACTATGATAATGTGAAAGAAGGCATGTTGGATCCATTTTTCTTGGTATTCCCCACTTGTGATACCACGCTTCTCAAATGGTTCCCTAAACGACAAAAGGTGCATGACCAATTAACCCATTTTTTGGAAATGCTAGCTGGCATCATTGAAGATCGTCGCAAAACTATGAAGGAAGCCCGGGAAAATGGAACGGAACAGCTAGTTGAAGCTCACGAACGTGATTTGTTGACCCTGATGATTGAATGTGAAGAAAATGAAAATGCCACCTTGTCAAATGAAGAACTCCGTGTAAGCTGGGTGATGAATGATTAATGCACCGTCATACTGATGTTCAATTATTTATTATTAATACATAGAGAAATCTCTGCATCTTCTTTTTGGCTGGCCATGACACCACTGCCTTTACTTTGTCGTTTATGATTTATGAGTTGGCCGTCAATCCTGTAAGAAATTTATTTTTAAAGGTCCGATTGCATGAAAACAATGACCTCTCACTTTTTTTTTATCTATCATAATGTAGGAAATGCAAGAACGAGCACGAAAGGAAGCTATCGCTATTTTGGGAGATGATCCTTATGATAAATTGCCCGATATCGAAGATACAAAACAAATGAGTTACATCAATGCCGTTATGAAAGAAACAATGCGATTGCATAATCCAGTGCTCAGCACCACTGCTCGTGAAGGTAAAACTTAAATACATCCCGATGTAAGTCTTGCATATAAATGACACTCATTTTTATTTATTTTTCCTTGACGTACTTGTAGCCACAAAAGATTGCGTTTTGAATGGTATCTTTATTCCAAAAGGATCACTTGTTTCTGCAGATATTTTGGATGTACACCGAAACCCTAAAGTGTGGACCTCACCCTATGAATTTAATCCTGATCGATTCTTACCCGGCGGTGAAGCTGAACAGAAAACTAGCGCTGGAACGGCTTGGTATTTTTTTTAGAAGAAAGTAGGCGAATAATTTGAAACTGTTACTCAAGTATACTTTTTTCTTTTTTATTAGGATTCCTTTTTCAAGTGGAGGTAAGTTTTTGATTTTGACAGATGATAAGCCTCTTGATGACTAAAAAAAAAAAATGTCTCTTATTTCTATACAATAGGTCGTATCTGTGTTGGTATGAACTTCAGTCTGGTTGAACAAAGAGTTATATTATCTATGTTATGTAAGTACTAAAGATATTGGGAAGTGAAGAAGAAGAAAACACCGTATCAACCATTGCTCTTTCTTTGACACAATAGTACGGAAATACAAATGGAAATTACCTTCAGACTCGATCCATGCCAATGGATTAAAAACGCACGGTGTGGCTTTTGGCATTATTTCCAGTACTAATTTAGATATCGACTTTGAAAAACGATACTAGCTATAGCATGCACACACTCTTCTCTTAATTTTATCCAGTATATATAGTTGTCAATGAAAATAAAATGAGTAAATTTCCACTCCGACTCCCAAAACTCTTTTTTTTTTTCAGGACATGAACTTCATTGCAATCTCAATGGGAGTGCTGATGGTCTTGGATTAGTATTAGAACTTGGATTAGGGGCATTTTAAAAAATGCCATACAAACTTCATGGGCAAAACCTTTCATTTCGGATTCGTGATTTTGGACGTTTATTGGATTAGATTAGCTTTTTTCTTTGATAAGGATTACAGAAACATTTGTTATTTTAATTTAGTATTCGTTTTCGTGGTTTATATATACACCTTAATAAAATATGTGTTGTCCTTATTATCATTAGTCTCTCATGTATTTAATTGTTTGGTGGAATGGGTATACTTGTGCATGTAGGTAAAAATAAAGAACTAGCGTGTATGTTACAGTAGAGCTCATTACATATTTCTGTATACTGGCACATACATCCTCCAACCACCCATATACTCTATGTATCAATGTATACCATTACATATATTTATTCAATCGTTCCCTGTCCGTAACCTTTTTGGTATGTATTCATCACTACACTCACTATCCCATATTTGACACACATACACATACTGTGTATCTATGGGGGGATTAATTTCTATTCTGAGATCTGTCTGCCTATGATATTGGTATGTCTTCGTTTCACATTTTTCATGGCATCAATTTTGCCAAGCCCCAGCCAATAATTCAGCACAACCACAGTATAATTTCAATTCCGCACACGTGGATTTTTTATTTTCGTCCTTCTTATTTTTCCGCTCTCTCTCTTTTCTTTTTTCTTTTTTCTCCTTCTTTAACTATTCACCATTGTGGCTCCTATGGACTTCTGGTGGGCTTAGATTAGTGTCAGGACTAGTTTATAAAGGTTTTCAGCTCAGGGATTACGAGATGCATGGGGAAACCTTTCATTTTGGATTCAGTATTTGGGGCTACCATTAGTTCGCTCTTTTAAGCCTTCATTAGCTTAGTTTCATTTTAGTTTGTCATAGTTTTTATCTACATCTGAATAAAATATGTCTCTTTTTACATGCTTTAATGAAAAATATTCCAATAGTCTCTCATGTCTTACGCAGTAGATCTTTTTTTTACTACCATCACCCCTTGAGATTAGCGTTGTCAGTATGTGTTTCAATAAAATATATCGATTTAGCTATTCCCATGCCGTGTACAGTGTACAAGATTTCTTTTTTACAAATCGTCCCTTTATGTTATTATTGACCATTCTCCAGATCTATCGTTGGTGAATCTCATCCTTCTTCCAATAGATCTTCTCACTAGATCATTTATTACAATGAACCCTTCGTCTTTAGCTTTAGTATCTACCAATGTGCTTCAATAAAATATATCTCTTTATTAAACATCTTCTGACGCCTCATATAGCATTGTAAGTCTTTTATGAGTGTCCTACAAGACACTTGCTCTCTATTTCACTCACTATGACTACTTTCCACCTGCCCTTTTAAATCTCAGCGATTAGTGGGCAATCTTAGATCACATACGATAAAAGATGACCATGTTCCTACTCGGCCGATCATGTAAATAAATCTAGGTCTGGCTGTGCATGTAGCCCCCTTTAGTTTTATTGTACTTCTTTCTAGCTTATCTACGACTGCTCGTCTGTCGCCTGAGGCCTAGGTCGAGATTGGCATTTTTTGGGTCAATTGATATGAAACGTGGCCGTCTTCCCTCTCTACCATTCACATTTACTAACCTAAACCGTGCTGTCAGACGTAACCTCCATTAGATTGAAAATACTGTATACATCCAATTTGCTACTTTTCTTTATTTTTATTTTTATTTTTATTTTTTCATGGTATTAAAAAAAAAAAAAAAAAAAAAAAAAAAAAAAAAAAAAAAAGCCCAAACAGAAGTCAGTTGAGCTTCAAGGGGTAAAGATGTAAAATAGCCGGGTTGTCTACCTTCATTGACAAAGCAAACCCACATATACATAGTAACATACATGCGCCCTGAAATACACAATAGATCAATTTGTTGCTAGTGTGAGAATATTTTGAAATTGAATAAAAAAAAAAACGAAACAATTGAGGCTCACTTTACGACCTTATTGAACTGCATCATAGGATACAGTTTTGTACAAGTTTATCGATATTCTTTCCATACGGCCATACTTTAATTGACATATATATTATAATATCCAGGCTACTTTCCTCGTCAAAGGGCTATTATTTAAGGCATATTAAGTGGCTTTGGACCATTTATCAGTCGCTGGAACTCCGGAGAGAAGTCATAGTGAGATAGGTAGAAAGCATGTGTGTGCCAGGACACAGTAACGGTTTTCTCATTATATAATGTGTCAGATAGTGTGTAATAAAAGTACATAATTTATTTGAGGTATATTGGTAGCCACTAAACTAAGAGCACGGAGCTTATTGTAACAAAGGATCTAATGGATGTAGCATGAGGGAGACTAGAGCGAGTTCTGAAGATTGATCTACACTAACATAAAGGATCTATGGTAGAAAACATAAAAGAGACTAATGGGATTTTTTTTTCTTAAAGCATGTAAAAAACGACATATTTTATTCAAATATAGATACAAACTATGGACAAGCTAACACTAAACTAACCTAATGAAGGCTGTAAAAAATCTACTGATGGTGGTTCTAAATCTTGAATCCAAAATGAAAGGGTTTCCCCATGTATCTTGTAATTCCTGAGCTTAAAACCCTTCGAAGCTTGTCCTGACACTAATCTAAGTCCACCGCAACCCCAAAGAAGTTGAAGATGAAGAATGAAAGAAAGAATGAAAGAAAGAAAGAAAAAGAGGGCGGAAAAATAAATTGGGAAAAATAAAAATTCATGTGTGCGGGGTCTAAACTCGTGGTTGTGAGCCTACATTTTTCCTCCCGTATCTTGGCAAGTGCAAAAAGCACACCTTCGCTTTTTTTTTTTTTTTTTTTTTTTTTTTTTTTTTTTTTTTTTTTTTTTACAACAATTAATACATAAAACATCTTCAGTAGTTCTCTTGTCATTAAAGCAATCGTCACTATAGAGCAATTCGATTTGCGTTAGTTTATCCTCCTCGCTGTAGAATATTTCGTTATTCGCTGTAGAATAGCGTACCCTATTTGATTATAATATATGCATTAATTAGTCTATACTAAACAAATTTAATGTAATGTTTGTAGCATAAAAAAGTAACATAGAGCCCATCAAGTAAGTATATCAGTGAACAGCAATATAAGTAAATGCCAAAAAAGGAAAACGAGGTATTTAATACTGGATTTCGAGTGGCATATTATTTTCCCGAGTGCCGTCCTCAAATTTTCTATATTTTTTTTCCTTATTTGAGGCTACTTTGCACAACGCTTTGCTCAATATAACACAGCTATACGATGCGGATGACTAAATATCATACATGGCTAAAATTTTGAAAGTCTTAGCCCTCACAGTGATAAGAAATCAGCAATTTTCTCGGCTAATTTTTTTTGCCGGTTGCAAATTTGCCTTATGTACCACATTCCAAATTTGAAATCATAAGGCGCCCGTGTGATCTAGTGGCTATGATGTTTGCTTTACACGCAAAATGTCTCCGGTTCGACCCCGGACGTGGGCATCTTCTTTTGTCTTCGACGACATATTTTTTACTTTTGCTGCTGTTAGAAGGAGATTACTATCGTTACGGCTGTTGCGGCTAAATTTGTGATTTTAGTCCAACTGGATTGTGTTTTTGTAGTGTTGTGGCTGTTTTTAAGTTTTGTTATAAGTGAATACCAATTATGTTATGGTAGACTTGATGTTTTTGATGTTATTTGTATAGTTTGGTATAGATAGAATAGTATCTTGCACCAAATGTGTCTTGTAATAAATTAATTTTTCTTCCTAGTGAAAGTCAAGAGCGATTTATTTTTCTCTGGACGGAATTTGAAATTTGATTTGCAGTGGTCCCTGAATTGACTTTTGTTTATAGAGAGAGCACTAGATATGTACTACACCAAATGTGTATTTGAATATGAGTAATGAGTTCCAGATATGAGTTTGGATAGTAAGTAGTGAGCACCAGAACTTTTGTAGATAAAGTCCAACTTGAAATAAAAGAAGTTTTAAAAAGTAAAACTTGATAAAATAAAATAAAGTAGAAGTATTGACCTTAGCTGGTTCAATAAAAATAAAAAGGAGTATAATTGACTCTGAAATAAAATAAATAAAGATTCCTATAGCAAAATAGAAATAACTTGATAACTTGATAACTTGGTAATTTGGTGGTTATAAAAAAAACCTTTGTACTGACTTTTATTTGTTAAATGAGAAAAGTATATAGAAAAACTAAAGAGAAAGAAAAGGATAATAATAAAAAGTTGGCTATTTATACTAAAAAACTGATATCTATAGAGATGGTTTGTTTTTGTGTTTTTCATCTATGGAATGTATTTTCTAATTTTTTTCGGATGTATATATGTATTTTCTATTTTTTTTTGAGATGTATGAATGTATTTTCCATTGACTAGTTTTCATTCATGGCCCAGTCCATTAATTGGTTAAAACCAAAAATGTCAGCAGCAATTTCCCCAGCGGTGTCTTCAATGCTGGACCCAACAGTAGGTTTTTTTATGTTTTTCTGGGTTGAATAGGATGTCTAGAGTGATCCTTTGGTGTAGCTTTGATCGTTTAGAGCTTTGAAAATAAATTTGTTCCTTCAGCGGAATTTGAAATATCTTGTTCCTGAATCGGACAAAAATAGATTTGATAGTAGTGAGCACCAGAACTTTTGTAGATAAAGTCCAACTGTAGAGAAAGTTTATAAAAAATAAACTTGGAAGAGTAAAATAAAATAAAAAAAAGAAAAGTATTGACCTTTGTTGGTTCAATAAAAATAAGTGTATAACACACAGTAAAAAATAAAAAGAGGACTTGTAGTCACAAAAAATAAAAGAAAGTTTCTATATAGACGATAGAAACAAAATAAAAATAAGACAGTGATTTGGTGGTTAAAAACCTTTGTACTGAATTTTATAAAAAAAAGATTGAGATAAATATATAAAAATAAATAACTAAAGATTTCGAAATTTGTGGGGGAAAGATGGGGTATTTATACTAAATTTCGAAATTAAAAAGACGCTAAGCGTAAAAAATAATAATAAGGATCGCTGTGCGTAAATAAGATATACGGCGCTAAGCGTCAAAAAAAAATGCGTCGAGCGTCAAAAAAAGAATGCGTTGAGCGTCAAAGATTCAATCGCCGCCGCCAGTCGCCCAACTGACAACGTCGTCTACACCAAACAGAGCGACGAGGTCCAGTCCCCCGACACGGCTTATTTTGGTCGTTAGGTCGTAACTGGTGTTGTGGCTGTTTTTAAGTTTTGTTATGTGTGAATACCAAAAATGTTGTGGTAGACTTGATGTTTTTGATGTTATTTGTATAGTTTGGTATAGCTTAGAATAGTATCTTGCACCAAAATATGTCTTGTATTAATTTTTCTTCCTAGTGGAACGGCTTTTCTTAGTGTGAGTCAAGAGCGATTTATTTTTTCTCTGGACGGAATTTGAAATTTGATTTTTTGTGGTCCCTGAATTGACTTTTTGTTTATAGAGAGAGCACCAGATATATATCACACCAAATATGTATTTGATAACGAGTAGTGAGCACCAGAACTTTTGTAGATAAAGTCCAACTTGAAAATAAAGAAGTTTTTGAAAAGAAAACTTGATAAAATAAAATAAAGTAAAAGTATTGACCTTAGCTGGTTCAATAAAAATAAAAAGTGAGAGTATAGTTGACTCTGAAAATAAAATAAATAAAGATTTCTATAGCAAAATAGAAATAACTTGATAACTTGATAATTTGGTGGTTATATAAAAAAAACCTTTTGTACTGAACTTTTATTTGTTAAATGAGAAAAGTGTGTAAAAAAAAACTAAAGAGAAAGAAAAGGATAATAATAAAAAGTTGGCTATTTATACTAAAAAAATTGATATCTATAAAGATGGTTTGTTTTTGTGTTCTTCATCTATGGAATGTATTTTCTAATTTTTTTTTTGGATGTATATATGTATTTTCTATTTTTTTTGAGATGTATAAATGTATTTTCTATGGACTAGTTTTCATTCATGGCCCAGTCCATTAATTGGTTAAAACCAAAAATGTCAGCAGCAATTTCCCCAGCGGTGTCTTCAATGCTGGACCCGACACTGGAATTTGTTTTTGTAGGTTTTTATTTTTTATAGAGTGAGCACCAGAGCTTTTTAGGATGAAGTTCAACCGTTTGTAGCTTCAAAGGCTTAAAAATAATATAGGACTAGACTTGAAAGTCCAAGTGAGGATGTATTATTTTCAAAAATGAAAATAATAAGGTCGATAAAATAAGTAGTGACTTAGATCAAGTCAAAAAAAATAAAGTGAAGTGAAATTCAAACTCAGCTGTCAAAATATATAATAAAGCATTCCAAAGTATGGAATAAAAGGAAGCCAGCAAGTTGGGAGGTTTAAAAAAAGCTTGATAATGCATTTATCAAAAAATAATAAAGGCTCTGGCGCTCCGCTGGAGCTTTTGGAAATCTTTCGATTTACTGGGTGTCACAGTTTTTTATTAAAGTGTGGGTTTCGATGGGATAGGATTAAAGCCTCCGCCATTTCGCACTTTGGTGGGCAGCCCCTTGGGGCCCGACCGTCGTGCTCAGCGCGTCGTCAATGGGTTCTTTTTTGTGTGCTGAAAAAAAAAATAGAGAAGGCATTAAAGCCTCCGCCATTTCGCACTATGGTGGGCAGCCCCTTGGGGCCCAACCGTCGTGCAGAGCGCGTCGTCAATGGGTTTTTTGTGTGCTGAAATAATAGCTTACTTGAAATGCGTCGGAGAGCTTAGAGTTTGATTATGTAGTGGTTGCAACTGCCTTTCCACTGGAAGATAAAACGAATTATGCTATATGGTAATTATGGCGATTGCCCGTTTATTTAATTTTTATTTGCAGCTCCTTGATTTTTTGACATAAAAAAAAAAGCTGGATGATTCAGGCTCCGCATTTTGCTTTCTATTTTTTTTTGGTCCCCCTTTTTTTTTCCCTCTCTTTTTCTTTCTTTTTTATTTTTTTCCATCATGATAGTCTGAATGATATGCTGGCAAGGCTCATTGGGGAACTGGTGATCTAGGATTAGTGGTTAGAACTTGAATTAGGGGCGTTTTAAAAAACGCAAAACAAACATCATGGGGAAACGCTTTCATTTTGGATGAAGGATTTGGGAACGACAGTAGATTAGCACTCAATAGTTTAGTAATAGTTTGCCATCGTTTATACCTACGACTGAATAAATATTTTCTTTTTATTATATTCAGTATCTCTGTTGTACGTTTACATTATGAGCTTCAATAAATGTGTATTACATATGCATAGAAAAAAAAAAGTGTGTCTATATATATATATATATATATATATATATAAGGGATGTGTTTGTGTGAAAAAACAGCTATTACAGAGTATTTTATTGTGGTGGGGGATATTGAAGAACAAAGGTGAGAATAATATTAATTATGTAGCCACCGGGTGGCAGGGGGGTTCTGAAGTGTGGGTTGATGGAAGACTCCGTGTTTGGGTGGGCAGCGAATGAGAAAAAAAAGGATGGGCAGCGCCTTGGGATCCAACGGTGGTTGTCCAGGGCTTTGTTTGGAAAAAAAGAGTTGGAGGGACAAAAAAACGAAATTAAAGTTACTATAGCTGAGTTTCCTTACGGTCCTTATTTTTTTTGAAGGTATTTATACTAAATTTTTATAATGTTTCACGTTGGGTTCAAACTTAGCGTCGGGTACTGAACGTACGGTCCGTTCTCCGATCCTTCCTTCAGGCTTCTTCTGTCATTGCCCAAGCAATCAATTCATCCCAGCCAAACAATTTACTAAGTTCGAGATCATCCTTGACACTGGAGTTTGTTTTTGTAGATTTTTATTTTTTATAGAGTGAGCACCAGAACTTTTCAGGTGGTAGGAAAGTCACAGTTTATTCTTATCTATGGTAATAATCAACTCAAAACAGATATATATTATATACATAGTATATAGTATTGTAGTGCAAAAGTCGAATATTCTTTTTTTATTTTTTGGTCACAAAAGATTTGTCAACCTCAGGAAAAAAATGAACAGATTCATGCATAGGATAAAATTAAACAACATTTTATTAAACAAGGATGAAGGGGGTTTATATCTAACATTACGTGGAGGAATAAAGGGGAAGGTAAAAAGCAAATGATCACTATAAATAAAAAAATATACGAGGTAAAAAAATATACCAAGGAAATTGCCCTTAATTTCCTGGTGCCGATTGTTTTTTCCGGCAAACAGATCAAATTTTAAGTATGACTGGATCACAAAAAGGGGAATGAAGGTAGATATCGTTTATGCAAAAAAAAAAAAAAAAAAAAAAGGAAGACGGTAACATGTGAAACTATATCTTTTGTCTATTTTGCAAAAACTTTATTGATGTGTCTTTGATGAAGAAGGGGAAAAGTAAATGATAATGAAGAATGAATGAAGTGAATAAAAACTAACTTAATATATACCAAATAAATAAAGGTGGTAGATTAATTCATATGATTTGTGAGTGTGATAAAAGAAGAGAGATGAATAGGCG